GAGGCATGTCTCATAGCTGTTGTCCTGTCAAGCTTCCTGGTGGGATTCCATATCGGTTCGTCCCTTCAAAGAGCAAAAAAGGTCACCTTTTTGGACAAAGATGATTAATTAAATTTGTTCAATCACACTAATATATTGATTAAATCAGTCAAACTTCATTTTGTTAATTACCAGGTTGATATCTTGAAAGTTGTAGCCATATCAGAACTCAACTCAACATGTTCACCAGAAGATCTCAGAGCAGATACCATCTCTAAAGTAACATATCACATATTGATTAATTATGATTCTGTATTACCATTTATATTCTAAGGACAGGCCAATCTTGATAATTTCTTATCTTTTCAGTTAACGAACTTTGCTTACAATTCTCTCCCAGAATGAAAATTACATTTTGACTTTTTCTATCTTCGATATCTATGTTTGATCATTGTTATATACAATGATATATTAACAATAAGCTCGGTCAAGATTGTTTTAACATTATAAAATAACAATACAATTCATAAGTACTTAATAGTCAAATTGAATAGGATTTGACTAGAAGGTCAAGTTGTAACTTTCGTTTTGAGGTGAGGGAAGTACCTGGCTATGTTGGACTCAAGCCCAGGTCATCCTGATATTCTCATAATCTTTGTAGTGTTAATCATCATCACCATCATCATCATTACCCCAATGCCGCAAAGGCTCCCACCTATGATGGGTTAAGGGGGTGTTGGATGTACGCAGTCTTACCCCTATAGACTGTAGTAAAGCACAAATAGACTGTTTTCGGATCACCCATAGTGAAAATCGCGTCCAAAATTGTTAGCATTTAAGTCTAGCATAATTATTCTTTAGCCCGACCCAAACTAAAATTCTATGTCCACCCCGAAGGACCATATATATAAATGTTTTTTATATAAGATGACTTGTTATCATTATAACTATGTTGGTAGATATTCGTTGCAACAAATCCCCGTGGTGCAGAAAGGTTGCCACCAGGCATTATCCACACTTATTCAGGTTTCAATATCAATGGTGAAAGTGTGCCTAAATACTTGCTCACAGTAACGGTTGGCATAGAACAGAAAGAATTGGTTAACAAGATTGTCTCTAAGGTTTGTGTAAATTAATGTCGGGTAAATCATGTATTTGTTATAATAAAGTGTGTTCCTAAATGACCGAGTCGTATAGCATGTTATAGTTTTCAGAGGAATTTGCAGTAATGTTGTTCCATTATGATGGGAGGGCAAGCGAATGGGATGAGGAGTTCGAATGGTCAAAACGCGCTGTTCATGTCACTGCCAAGAAACAAACCAAATGGTAACACATTCTTATAATATAAACAGTTTTCTAACCAAGACACAAACCAAATGGTAACATATTCTTAAATATAAACAGTTTCCTAAGCAATTGTACTATTTTACTCTTACATTGAAACAAAAGAACACACGACCACATATAATTAACTGTGTCCCCTTCTCACAAGGAAATTAACTGCCTAAAGCTCTGTTACGTTGCAAAAAGCATGGGACATTAATATTGGGAAGGAGTATTGGTTATTCTCTGTCCTTGAGATTATATGTATTTCTATTGAGTTATGAAATTGTAATTTTTCTAATATTTTTGAGTGCAGGTGGTATGCAAAACGCTTTCTCCACCCTAACATTGTAGCCCAGTATGAGTACATCTTCATATGGGATGAAGATCTAGGCGTGGAACACTTCAACGCAGATGAGTAAGAGGATATCATTAAATATACTCCTGTCAAGAAATGCATATCTAGAATTCATTGCCAGTTTCACAATTAAACTAACAGTTTCTAGCCCTGCAAATGTTGTGTTGCGTGCTTAATTAGGTACATTAAGCTTGTCAAAAAATATGGATTAGAGATCTCGCAGCCCGGGATTGTATCCCGAAAAGGCTTGACATGGCAAATGACTATGAAGCAGCATGATATTGAAGTGCATAGGTAAATAATCGGGTTCAATCTCTTTGTGCCTATGTTAACACAAGAGTAATGAGAATCATTCATGTGGTTTCCATCATTTTTATTATATACTAAGTTTGAATGGTCGAGGCAAATGAATGTATGTTACTCCCTCAACTGCAATTTATTTGTATCACTTAGTTATTCCATATAACTTGTCTCACTTCTTTTTGAAAATAGACCTATACAATAAAGTTCGATATGTCTATTAAATAACTCCACACACGACTACTCGAGATTAAAAAAAAGCTATCACATCTACAAACACTTTCTTTATTTGCATGAAAAACACTGGGATGGCCGGATGGGTAAATTTGAACTGATATAGTATATTGTTTGACTATAAATCATCTCAACCCAAACAAAAGTTAGAACAAAAGTAACCCAACTTAGATGGAACAAATATTATCCAGCATGTTATTAAGATACCCTCTTATCTACTTTATTTTCTCCCAGCTGAAATCTTTGCATTGCATTGTTGCAGGAGGGTGAACGAAACACATAGTGGACAGTGTCCTTACCCAGACTTACCTCCCTGTGCAGGGTATACATATCATGTGAAATCATTCAAAATAAATTTAACACTCAAACAATAATGTGCGTAGTTCAACGGAAAAATTATATTAACATGTGACAATTGTCTAATACTACGTACTTATTAAGGAGTTTATTCATTCATAATTCTACATGTTTAGTCGATATGAGACATTATTACACACCCTCTCATGGTAAAACACCTCTCTATATTATATATATAAAGGTCAACAATCCCCTCACAACAGGACACTTCTGAATAATCCGTACACTAACTTATGGTCATGGGTCATACAAAACTCTAACTAGGTTTGTGGAGATCATGGCACCTGTATTCTCCCAAGAATCATGGCGATGCGTTTGGAGCTTGATTCAGGTATACATTTTATGATCACCCAGAAAGGATATTTCTCTGGTTTTGGAGAGATTCTTTTATATATATACCATTACTGTTTCAGAATGATTTGGTACACGGATGGGGTCTGGATTTTGCATTGTGGAGATGTGTGGAAGTAAGGCCACTATAAATACTTGTGTTTCCTTTTTCCTGTGAATTCTTGAACTCTTCTTGATCCATCATCTTTTGCATTTTATTTGCAGAAGGCACATGAGAAGATTGGAGTTGTGGATGCTCAATGGATTGAGCATTTGGTACTGCCCTCACTTGGAAGCCAGGGAGAGTCCATCGATGGAAAGCAACCATGGGAAGGGGTAAGCATGCATGAAACAGTGCAAAAAAAATGGACCACTTATAGCTCTGTTTTTATCCTATCCATTATTTTCTAGCTGGGTCTAACATTTCTTGGCATGAAAATTAAAATTGACCTGAAACTGTACCCAATTAGTAGTGTTAGTATATTTCTTTTCTTTTTGCCAACATATTCCTTAGTTATGTTACTTATGTCAAACTGGTAGAAATGTGGTCCTCGGATTAAGATACCTTCATCATATACTTCGTATTTATCAATCAAATCTTCAAGAATGTGCATTATTATACTACGTATTAGGGGTGGACTCGGGCCGGGCCAACCGGCCCGGAACCGGACCGGCCCGCTACTGTGCGGGCCCGGACCGGCCCGGTCAACCGGTTGGTGCACCGGTTCGGGCCACCCGGCCCGGAGGGATGGCGGTTCGGGCTCGGGCCCTGATTTAGGTGAACCGGCCCGGCCGGTTCGGGCCCGGTCCGGGCCGGATTTTAATTTTTTTTTTTTTTTTTGAAATTTTTTTAAATTTTGGGTTGGATTAGGTATTTTGGGCCATTTGAGGTGGTTTGGGGTAGTTTGGGGTTGAGGGGGAGGGGTAGGGGGTTAAAAATGAGAACCAAAAAAAAAAAAAAAAAAAAAAGTGACCGGTTCGGCCCGGCCCGGCCCGGCCCGGTTTGGCCCGGAACCGGAACCGGAACCGGAACCGCCCCCCGGCGGTTCGGGCCCGGGCCCTAGTTTTCTGGCCCGAGGCCCGGCCGGGCCCAGGCCCGAACCGGGCCCGAACCGGCCCGAGTCCACCCATACTACGTATAGAAAAAAAACCACTCATACTTGCTAATCATATTAATTTTGAAATCATAAGCACAAAACTGAAAAAACAATTTTTGCTAGTGTTAAAATTTTGGATTTCATTAATAAATCAAAAACGGAAACCGCCCTTAACCTTATCCAACTCATATCATGTGAGCCTAAAGAAAAAAGAAACCGAAGAGTCATCAAATCAAGAAATAATTACAAACACATTACTAAAGTAAAAGTCGAGACAAAATTTGGCCTTCATAATGCATAGCTACCATATTTCGTTAGTGCGGTGGGTTTGGAGTGACCAATTAGTTATATTTTTATCCTAAAGTATCAATTAGTAAGATTTTAATTATAAAAAAAAACTCAAATCAAAGGCCTAAAAGCAGTGATCTGACATTAAGTAATTAGGGAGTATTATTATATGCCATATCATTTTCCCTTCCCTATTTTACAGGTTCATGTGTGCATTTGACACTGATAGGCGATAGCCAAACATTGTACGGAATATTTAAAAAAAAAGTGTGGTGTTTTATTAGGTACGGGCAAGGTGCTTCAAGGAATGGAAAGAATTTGAAATCAGAATGAATAAAGCAGAAAAGAACCACTCGAAATGGAGCTCACATTAACAATCTCATCATCTGTGTCACATGCCACTGGTGAGAATGCAGAGATAGGCTAGTAAGCTTCAACATGGTTTTTGTTCCAAATAGTCATGCCCCCCCCCCCCCCCCCCAGTTTGTTACCTGAGCCATAAACAACAAATGGTACCCATTGGGCCATAACCATAAACGAGACCCATCAAATGTTGGTTCAGCTCCATTTCCTATATATTAGGATATAGAGCAGACAGTTCAAAATCCCATCCAGAACTGTTGGGAGCCGGACTGAAATCAGGAAACAAGACCAGTTCAAGGTAAGGTTCCACCAACTAAGGAGTGGAACCAAAACTTGACATTAGCTAAGCATCCCAATAAGAAAAGAGGATGTTAAGATTGGTATAGAGGGACAAAGGGGTTCCTTTCATGCTACCCATAAGCTTAGGAGCCATCTAAAACCACCCACACACAAATGAGTATGTGAAGAAGTATAATCAGATGGCCGCACAAAATAATCCTGGTAGAAGGAATATTGAAATCTAGAAAGTAATATTGAAAAACTATTGCACAACCACATCACACAGAAAGCACACATTGAAAAGAAGAAACCAAATCCCACCCGGTAACTTTCAAACTTTATCAAATGAATTGAGTTGTTTCTATTTGACAGTTAGAGGTTGGGGATAGACTTGGCTCGAATGAACTGTTTAAGAATGGCCTTATCCTCATCGATGCGTCTTTTCTCTTCAGGGTCTTTTGGCTTCAGCTTCCTCTTCTCTTCCAGCATCCACTTCAATATATCGCGCTTATCTTTTTCAGATATTGGTTCCCTAACAGGCTGCAGTGCAGGTGGAATAACTAGTTTATCAGCAATTGTAGCAGATTCAGTAGCAGTCACCACCGAAGGGATAGGTGTCTCTTGAATTTCAATGGCTGTGGTGTCTTTCTTTTTTGTCCTCATGTAAAGGTAGCCTATGAATGAATTTCATGAATTCAAGCCATTTTTCCATGAAACAAAGAAAGAAAATCAAACGTTAAAGGTTGAGTCACCTCGCAGGAAATTGTGAAAGGATACTACAATAGGCTTAAGGAAATTGTGAAGACACATCCGTAAACAGTATGGTACAACAACTCATACTGTTATAAGACAAAAGCCAGTATGTATGAAAACAAGAGGGTCTGTGAATGAAAATCATGTACTATATTTCAGGCAACTCCTACATAAGATGATTTCCCCTAATCCTGTGCATCTTCCTGTACTGCGGATATTAAAATTCTAATGAGAAGTAATATTACTATAGCAAATAAATTTCAATTCTTATTTGAAATCATCTGCCTAAGCATTCAATAGATACTAGACATACTACTATAGCAAATAAGTATCTGATTACAAATATTCCAGAACTTCAATTTCCTGATAGCTTCCAGTATTAAGTAGAAGGTGATCATGGACCTCCAAATCACAGGATAAATGTTTGTATGATCTTGACACGCTTAAGTGCTTAACAATAACAATTACAAGGCAGTAGAATCAAGAGTAAATATAACGGCCAGTTGATCACTCACCACTCTTCCAATCAAATTTAACAAAAACGATTGCAATTCAATTCGACTAATTAATAGTGAACAATGGCAGAGTAGTTTGACTAGAAGCACTAGTCCGTCGGTATCCTCAAAGCTTTCGGAATAGTCCGTACAGTTAACTTTATCAGCCTGGCCATACGCAGAAAATTTTACGGAGTATAGGACACACACACACGGAGAAAGAGAGAGAGAGAAAAACCTCCAATAGCGAGATTGACAGCCAAAAGCATTGGGAAGATGAACCTGTAACGCCGAAGGAAAGGTTCCTTTGCAGGCGGAGGAGGTGGCGCATGATTAGCCGCCGTAGGATTTGACGAAGTCATTGACGGCGAAACTGATGGCGGTGAAGGCGTCTGCGGAGAAGATGCGTGTTGCTTCAGTTGAGCTGTCATACGTAGACGTAAGTATAAAGCAAAGGATCAATCATCGCAGAAGCGATTGCTTAATTTGGATTGAACGAATTATATACTCTACATTTTACAGCGTAGTAATAAATAATACAGGAACGTTTACATTTCTTGGGCTTATTCATGTAGAGCTTCGAACCATTATCCATTGTTGTTTCTTACAGCTCGCGCTTGGAAGAGAAATCGCTCTTTACTCTGCTTAAAACAAACTGGCCATTAGAGAATGGAGATCGTCCACCACTGCTTTCACTTCTTCAGCTGCTTTTCTGAATTCTGACGCAGACACGCAATGACGGAGGCTCTAAACGATGTCGTTGTCAGGCTCTTTTTTAGTTCCACTGTGCGGGGCTTGGTGACTGATCACTCGGCCCATCAAAGTAACAAAAAAGTTTTTGTAACTCGACCCATAAAAAATAAATACAGAATTTTGATACTCGGTGCATGTCGAATATCTATACTACCTAGTTGTATTATGAAGACATCACTAATACCCTATCAAAGAGAAATCGTGTTCGAGTTCCATCCCTGCTGACATTGAAATTTATCATGAGATAGATTTTACAATAATTTGGCATCACATTAAAAAAAAAAAAAACTTGCGTGGAATTATTGATAATCTTATTATACCAGAGAAGGATTCAAAAGACATAAGTTAAAGAAGCTCCGAGAAATATGAGGCGGAAGAAAGCGGTGAGTTCATATGGCAAATCGATTGAGGTTCGGAGAAGTTTGCGGAAAGGTGTTTGACTGGTTAACACATTTTTTAATAAGATTTAGAACAACAACAAAATATCAGCGAATTGGAGAAAGAATATTGTGATCCCTTATTGAGCAAAACCTTCGAAGAAGTGTGAAGATTTCAAAGAATCAATTTCATACTCGGTCACTCAACAATGGAGGTCATTCACCTTGTGAGGGAACAAGTGAAGAAGTATACAAACACTAATAAAGATCAACATTTGATGCTCATTGACATAGAAAATGCATATGATATGGTACATCGAGAAGTCCTTTAGTAGGCCTCAATTAGGAAAGACATATCATGTAAGTATATCAGTCACATCATGATATGTATGAGGATTGTATTACAATTGTCCGTATTAGTGTAAGGATGACTGCAGAGTTTCATATTACTATCGAAGCACATCAAAAATCGGATTTGGGTCTTCTCTTATTTCTTATAGTCATGGATGAACTTAGAAAGTGAGTTCAAGAAGATATATTGTGGTGCATGATGTTTGCCATTGATTTTGTATTGATTGGTGTGACACAATCAGTGCTAAAACCGGCATTTCCATCTCTTTCGACACTAAAGGGTAAATTATATCGGACAACAATTAGATCTTCAAGATGTGAATAGACATAATAGAAAAGACCGTTTGAGAAATGAGAAAATCGTATGTAAGATAGGAGCAACACTTTTTGAAAATATGATATGAGAGTCTCGATTGCACTGCATTGGTCATGTGTGTAGAAGACCAACTAATGCACCGGTTAAACGAGTTGAGAGGCGGAGGCAAACGTGGAGTAGAGGAGTCAAGAGTGAATGATTTTTCTTGAGTTGAATGAAGGTATAACTTCGAATAGAGCAAAGTGGATGAAGAATATTCGTACGGGGGATTGATTTCTTCTCACCTTTTTATCCTTTAATTTTATACTCTGTATTTTGGGGGGATAATTTTGATATATTTTTTTGTAAAAATCGGAGCGTGAATAAAAAGGCATAGCACTTTTTTTTTGCAAGAAAAAAGGCATAGCACTTTAAAGAAAAAGAGGTATTCTTTACATTAGTTCCACGGGGTGCTTAACTGCTTATAGCCCTATACCCTCTTTTCTCCTGGGTTGCTAGCTATCTTCGTAGTTTTTTAACACGGATTCCCCAAGTCACCGAATCAATTGGCGATTTTGTAAACCGTCTTTTCGTTTGGCGGTTTTTATTAGCCACAGTTCAATACTTCAATTGAGCCTATTTTGGTAAATACTTTTATCATGACTCCAATTTCGTAAATAATTTTTTATTTCACATTATTTTGAAGGAAAAAAACGCTTCCATTCTTCAAGGTTGTTACTCTGAAATTTTAATAAAAGTATCATGTCTCTCTTTAGTGATATGCTCATATGTTCCATTAATTTTGCGGTTTATGAGGTTGCCAAATATGTTCAACATGGTCTTGAAGAGGATCGGCGATGATGCTTCAACGGTATAGTTTGAAATCTACTGGTGCTCCAATGGTGAAGTAGAATGGCAATGGAACTTGGAAGAGGTATATCCGTATATATGGAATAATGGAAAGATGGTGTTGAAGATCACAAGATGAGAAAGAGATTTGGTGAAGTAGAATGGCAACATATTTGGAACTTGAGGATGTTTTCTTTTAGACTAAAATTTGCTGGTCTGGTCTGGTAAACATCTGGTCTCTGAGTATTTTTTAACTACGGAAGTCTGGTCTGATCTGATCTGAGACTGAAAACAGTGCAAAAGAAAACATCATCATTCTTAAGAGAACCAACATAGAGAGAGGCGATAGACAAATGAAGAATGGCGGGGCAGGATGTGGATAAAATTGAAGTAAACCCAGCTTTCTTCTTTCCTCTTTTACTTTCTTCTTTCCTCTTACTTAGTTACTTTCTTCTTCTTTGATTTTCTTTCTTCCATTCCTTTAATTGTGTAAATTACTCTAATCGACATTATTGTTATGGATATACTATTATAGGTTAGAATTGTTACCAAATAAAAGAGTGTATACAGCGCATATACTCTCTCTTTGCAGTGCTGAAAGAGAGACTGGAGATACAAATGTATCATGTGTGTAATAGGGAAAGAACGAGCAATATGAAAGATTGAAAGAGGAAACAAGGGGATAATAAAAAGGAAATGAAAAAGGTCAAAAACGTTAGAGATAGATCCTAGGTCATAAAAGAATTTACAAAATCATAAAAAGTGATGGCATAAGAAGCTAAGAATTTGACAAGTTTGACTGTTTGAGTAGACTTGGTAGGCCCAGTCTTGTTCCAGGTTCCACGAGTTCTGATCCCAGGTCTTAGGAATAGCAAATCGAACTGGCCTTTTTATTCTAATATTACTAAAAATAGGATAAAAAATTAAAAAGTGATCTATTTTTTAAAATTCCAAAAGTGTGACCAACAGTGACGGCCCCGCCGCCACAGTGACTGCTCCGCCGCCACAGTTAAAGCCCCGCCGCCACAGTGACAGCCCCGCCGCCACGGTGACAGCCCCGCCGCCACGGTGACAGCCCCGCCGCCACAGTGACTCCGGCCAAAGTGACTTCATCCAAAGTAGGGGTGGACCGGTTCCGGTTCGGGCCTGGGCCCGGCCGGGCCTCGGTTCAGAAAAAGGAGGCCCGAGCCCGAACCGGTGGTGGGCGGTTCCGGTTCCGGTTCCGGGCCAGAACCGGGCCGGGCCACCCGGAATGTTTTTTTCTTTTTTTCTTCTTCTTCTCTTATTTAACCCCCTACCCCTCCCCCTCCACCCCAAACCACCTCAAATGGCCCAAAATACCTAATCCAACCCAAAACTTAAAAAAATTTCAAAAAAAAAAAAAAATTAAATTCCGGCCCGAACCGGGCCCGGCCCGGCCGGACCGGTTCACTAAACTGGAGGCCCGGGCCCGGACCGGTATACCACCGGGCCTGGAGGCCCGAACCGGAACCGAACCGGTTGACCGGGCCGGTCTGGGCCCGCACAGTAGCGGGCCGGTCCGGTTCCGGGCCGGTTGGCCCGGCCCGAGTCCATCCCTAATCCAAAGTGACTTCGGCCATAGTGACACCCATTTCCGGCCACAGTGAAACACAATCCTGGTCACTATCTCGTGCCAATTCCGGCCAAGGCCACATTAACACCCCCACCACCCCTCCCACACCGCCATCTATGTAAACACCGCCTACTACCATGCCCCTCCCTAACCCCATGCCCCAGCACCCCAAACCCCTGCCCCTCCCCTCCGTCCAGCACCTCATCCCCTGCCCCCTGTCCTGCCCTAGCTCTGACCTGCAACCAGCTCCTCTGTAAAGCGTTGCATCCATCCAGTACCTCCGCTGCTTGTCACAGCCCTAGCCGCCATCTCCTATATCATGAACCCTTGCCGTCAAACAGATCTAGCCACCGCCGTCGAACAGATCTAGCCGTTGCTGGACGTGAGGTAGATCGGGCGATGGAATAACGATGTAGGTAGATCTGTTGTGTGGTATGTAGAACCGGAGGCAGCGACGTTGTAGATTCGATGGTAGGAAGGTCGGCAAGCTACGATGAAAACCAGATATGCGAAGGAGCGATGAAGACCAAAGATGCAAAGGAGAAAAGCGCTTCACGCTGGTCTGGTGCGAGAAAATGAAGGGAGCGGTCTCTTTTTTGGAAAAAAGCAAAATTGTCATATTTTTTGAAACTCAAAAGCCGTAAGTCATAATCGGGCAATTCTTTCATTTTATCGTCCCTATTATAGGGAAGCTTCAATTTTGATCTATAATTGCTAATTCTGGTCCTCCCTCTATCTGAAAGAATCTCAACCAAAATTGTCTTACAATTCGGTTCCAGACAAGTTCAGAATGTCCTCGATCCACCCTTGCATTTGATGGCGCTTAATGGCTTTGATTTCAACACTCAATACTAATAAATACTGCAGAGTTTATAAATATAGGTCTGTCCTTGTCTCCTTGATAAATTAGGAAAACAAAATACATACAAACTTCTTGGAAGCTATCGATAAAAAAACAATTCTACTGCACTCCAAATTAAATTAACAAAAACTAGCTAGTGTTCCAGATTGCCTGAAAAACAATGAGTCAGATATCTTTAATATTACCGTATAAAGATAGATTAATGAAATTACACATGTCTTCTGTCCCCATTATGGAGTATCAACCATCAATTCACTTGGAAGTTGGAACTATAAAGTTAAGCTTACAAGACAAAAGGTTGGTAATATACCCCATCACCTTGCCTCAATAACCATCTCCCAAACGATATGCGGGCTTGCAATGATATTAGTCTTTGAGCTCTTAATTCCATTTTCGTTGTCCACTTCCAAAACCTCGGCCACGATCTCGGAAACCCCCATGACCTCCTAATTAATCAAAAAAAACCATCACACAGAAGAAACAAGCAAAAAAAATACTAACACAAAAAGAAGCTAAAGGCAACAATGAGCGAGTTTTTAGTTGGTTCAATGAATTCCTCCCAGGCTACTCAATCTCTCCCAAATTGAGGATTCTAGGGGAGTTATTTTTGCTTACTAATTTACTATATAAAGGGCAACCCAGTGCACGAAAAGT